CACTGAATTGTTAGGTAAGGATTTGGACTTGTTGAATTAGAAATGCTACATAAAATGGGTCATCAAGTTTTGCTGTGGGGTCAAGCCTCAAGTGTGTCTGGAACATTCAATCACCCCTGAGGGATAACAAACAAAGATCAAAATTATATTATCAGTGCAAAGCCTGCAATGTTATGGTCTGACATACACAGCTCTGCGCGGCTGATGGGAAATTGCTCAAAGAGAAGCATTGGGAAGCAGAGCACATGTACCGCAATTGCTGTGACGTGTTAGCTGTGATTCCCATAGAAGCATTGAAACCAATGCATTTTATGAGAAGTTCTGGCATCCAGATTGAGCAAATTCTCAAGGTGAATGAGGAAGGGAAACCAGGTTTTCTGAAGATAATAAAAATGCTTATATCTCTAGAAATGGGCACTTTTATGAAAAAAGACAAAGGACACAGCCAGTTAACCCATAATGCACTCCACTAAGCTGACTTACTTTAAGGTTTTGCAGTGTTTCTTTAATCTTCATGGACAAATATCTCATATAATAATATGCTATGAGATATCTCTGGATGAGTCTATTTTGTTTCTGTTACACACTGTGTTTACTTGATTATAATTTGTAAACCCCATCTTTATCCACATATTCCAGTTTGGAGTTGCAATTTTGTAGCATAGTGTATACTAAGCCTTTCCCAAATTAGTGTAAGTGATGCTAAGGTTTAAGCAGTATTCTGCTGACACTGAGAATGGTTATGATTCTGGAGAAAATGTTTGCAAATTGTTAGCATTATGAATCCCAGTGCTCTCCTGTCAATTGCCAGCAGGTGGCAACATTACATTATATTTTTACATTTCTTCAAACTCTAGTCAAACTCCAATTTCATAGATTAGATTTTTTTTCAACCGGATAGCTAAGTAAAACGCAGTTTTAAATTGTATTTTTACTTTAATTAACAATACTTTATATTTTATGAAATACACTGCATACCCAGCAATTCTAGCACAGTCGGAGCGTTTTAAATTCCTTTTACCCCACAGTGCCATAAATGCTGTCCTATGCAAGTGTTTGGGAATGTGGATGGGATGCCTAAACACGCATGCACCTTTATGGCATTTCTCTGTAGATGTCTGAACATGCATGAGTGGGCCAGGAGCTTCAGGGGCCAGGAGCTAGGGAGGGAGATGATGTCACCCTGAATGATGATAACCACAAAGAGAGGAAAGACTGCACTCAATTCCTAGAGAGCACTGAGTGCTTGCTGTATTAGGACCCGCAAATCCTTAGTACATGATATATCCAAGAAGAAGCTTCAGGAACTCACAGGGTTTAAATATAAAGCAGTTTTATTGGATCAAAATGCATAGAGCAACGTTTCGACCTAAACATGTGGAAAGGTAGTGGATGTGATTGTGCTTTTCATTAACCTTCATTACACTAGTCACCTCAGTAAGTGTGTCAGCAGCTTTTACTGGGGTAAGGGAAGTAAAATGTAGATTATACATGAATAAATATAATCATAGCATTGACCTTTACGATGGTACTTTTATTAATGGCATTCAGTATTTTAAATGTGCAGTTTGCAAAAGTTTTATGTACATGCACCATTTTTCATATGTATAAAACGCCTATTCTACACTTTACACATTGGTGCCTTTTATTCTTTAGTCTTTTCTCTGGTCTTCCTTAACCCCACTTTTTATTCCTTATTTGGATTTTTTCATTCCTTTTTCCCTGTTAATTTTTTATCCTTGATACAACTCACAAAAAAGACAAATGTAATATATCATTAAATAATAATTTTACTAGGAAAAAGGGTTTTGATTTTTGTTTTTGTTTATACATTATATAACAAAGGAAGACAGGGTGCTTGTATATCATTAAAACCTGCGACGCTGGCAGTGGTGGAATCATTTGTTGGAAAGGAAACATGCATTTTTGCACTTCTTTCGTATAATTGGGAAGTGACGTATTTGAAAAGACAATAAAAGAAACGAAATGGAACATGAATATAAAATAACAAAAGAGTAAGGTATAATTTGAAGTAAGGGAATAAAAACGTGCAAAAAGGAAACCCACGAGAGAAACAACCTAAATAGTGAACATGCAGCAAATGTGGAAAAGGGACTGGGCGTACTATTAAAGTGACAACTGTTCACCAGATACATGACAATATTTGTCAACCGATATACATTGTAAAAACTCAATAAACTATACACGGAAAAGAAGAAAATTAAATTGCTTTTTCTATTATTAGTCCCAATGGGGCCAAAATCTATTTCAATGCATATTCTATCTGTCTTTACCATTTATATTATTAGTAATAATACCAATAGTTAATGATCTGGTGGTAGAACATTACACCTGTGTTTGTATGTGAACCCACTGAAATTCTCATTGATTTTACACTGGTAAGTACACAAACAGATCCTAATAAGTAGAAACTGAAAATAGGTTATCTCTCCAGCTAATCCACCAGAGAATATTCCTCGGTGAATACGCCATGTTCCCCTTTGCCTTTCTATGCTCAAAGTGGCCTCTACCTAGCAACAAGTCTCACCTAGCGCCTCCTCCCTGAATCATATCCTGACTCCTAGGAGTACCTGTCACCTGCCAGTCTATAGTCACAATCAACATTTTCTGCTTTGTTTAGTTCATTCTGCTTTGCATTGAACAACTTCTATATAATGACAAATCCCTTCTGTTTCCTATGGCACAAGCTTGGCTTTATGCATCTGTCCTAGGTTGTTTTTTACAAACTTAAATTATAGTATGATATACGTGGATACGTAGTAAAATATTATTTTATTATTGACATCAATATATTTAACAGCGATTCATTTAATACACAAACTGCTGTTAAACTACTATTTGTATATTGCTTTATAGTATTCTGACGCTTCATGAGGAAAGAACAGAAATCATAATTTGGGTTAGTAATAATTGTCAGATATATACTTATACGTGAATATTAATCCCTCAGTTATAAAGTGTACCAAACATACAAAATCCAATTTAAATAGTGGAAAAAATGGCATATTATTGTTAAAACAGACGAAGCATCATTAACAGCCGCTCATTGCTTTTACAGTGGGAAAGTCTCTGATTTACAAAGATTCAGTTGATGAGACCATAGTTTATGGACACTTTGATAAAGGCTTTGGCTGAAACGCGTTAGTGTGCAGAGGTGGAATTGCTGAATTTTAATTTTTACTGCTGCTGTCTTTTTTTGCTGCTATACCGAATAAAGGTTTTCATTAAAGATCCTGCATCCTGGATTTTGTAAAGCAAGAAGGAGCAAGCAATTAAGCAGTTGGATTACAACAACCACCTCACTAATCCATTCAATGTTCCTAGTCTGAGCCAGCTTCCATATTAAGTGGCTCATGAATATGTGAGTTTATTCAAGTATTTACTCATTCATATATTATTTGTATGTTATTACCCTATGCCTGTTTTTCCCATTGTGTTTTTACAGGTTTTATATTGAATATAAGGGTAATTATTGTTTCTCTGTGCTCTCACCATTTTTTACTGTTTAGACCATAGTTTATACTTACGGTATTTAATGTTTAGCAATAGATTGTGGTTAGTTTTTCTTTTTGGAACCTTTTGGTTCTCAATCGTTTAGTTTAACATTCTTTTGCTTTTTCTGTACGCAGGTGGACTTTCTTCATAGTTTGCCCAAATTTTTACAGTTTATTTTGGTGTAGCTAATGCCACATTTCTTCACAGAATATTACACAGAAATGTTTTTTTGCACAATATTTCCTATCTCCTTTACCACAACTGGAGTATAGCTTGGAAAGTATACATGACACAAACACATGCGATATACAGAATGATGTAGAAATATGCAGACATAGAAAATAAAGGGAAAATTTCAAGATTGATGTACTATTCTGCCCTTCCACTCCCACGCTGTGTTTATTTACAGTGCGGCTAATTGTGTTAGGTGTCATATTTTTCATCATTTTTTGATGATGCAATGGTTGAGGTTTGGATGTTAGGATATGAACTTTCTGTGACAATTTGGCATCTCAATTACAAGTATATCCACTGCATACAAGACCCTCTGCAACTCTAAAGAAGACCATATTGTCAGCTTCACTCTGCAGATTTGTAATTGGTGTAAAGGCCTACCGTTTATACTCGTGTATAAGCCGATCTCATGTATAAGTCGAGTGCATTTTTGTGACCAACAATTGTGAAATATGCTATGCCTCGTGGATAAGTCGAGGGTAAAACTTGGGGCTATGAAATTCTGTGATTTTTATAATTATATACACACACACATACACACTCTGCATTCACACAAACACACACACACACACTGCATTATGTGTGTGTTTGTGTGAATGCAGAGTGTGTATGTGTGTGTGTATATAATGCAGAGTGTGTGTTTGGATGAGTGTTTGTGTGTAAATAATGCAGAGTGTGTGTTTGTATGAGTGTGTGTGTGTGTGTGTGTGTGTGTGTGTGTGTGTGTGTGTGTGTGTGTGTGTGTGTGTGTGTGTGAACTGGGTGGGAGGAGGGCATTTTTATTATACATTTTTTATTTTAATATTTTAAGTTTTTTTATTTTATTATTTTATTTTAATATTTTAAGTTTATTTTATTTTAATATTTAAATTTTTTAAAATTTTAATATTATTATTTTTTTATTATTTAATTTTTTGACCCCCCTCCCTGCTATTTAACTGGTCAGGGAGGGGGGCTATATTATTCCCTTGTGGTCCAGTGGATGGGTGGTGCAGTGGGGGGGCTGGCAGGAAGCATTTACTTACCTTTCCTGCAGCTCCTGTCAGTTCCCTTCTCCTCCGTTCCGGTCAGCTCCACTGTAAATCTTGCGGTTTGCGTGCTGCGCGGAGCGTTGCGACGGTAACCCGTGGCAACGCTCTAACGGCCGCGGCTCTCGCGAGATTTACAGTGGAGCTGACCAGAACGGAGGAGAAGGGAACTGACAGGAGCTGCAGGAAAGGTAAGTAACAGCTCGCTGTCAGCCCCCAACAGGTCCTGGTATGTATTATGGCAATGTAAGTTGCCATAATACAGACAGTGACTTGAGTATAAGTCGAGTGGGGGTTTTTCAGCATAAAAAATGTGCTGAAAAACTCGAGTATATACGGTAAGTTTGTACTCCGGGATCCAGGGGAAATATTAAATATGGCAAGTGTATTTTCCTCCTATTAATAGCTATTTTTTCTGTCAGGGAATTGATTTTCCCCCTCCTTTACCTGTAACCTGAGTAAGCATTGTGTCTCTTGGCATAGATAAGTTGTTGCCTTCCCTACTAGACACTCAATGTGTTCTTTCTAATTCATTGGTTGTATCTCGAGGTTTTTACAAAAGATCATTGAAAAACCCATTTGGCATGCTTACAAAATGGGTCAGGTTAGGACAGCACTCTACTCAGCCATCTTGGCTTTATCTTCAGTCGTACTTAGTTCCTTTATTATTATCTTGAAGCTATACACTGGATGCATAAAATATGCTATCTATGCATGTATTACATATACTTAACAAATATATATTTGCTAGCCAGATATTGGGTGGGGAGGAAACAAAGTTAAAGACATAGTCTCGTAGTAACATTTCCTGACATAAATCTAGTTTGCATCGTACATTTTGGGAAACTTGGTACAATATATATTCATATTTTAATGAATAAGGGGTAAGGAATTAAACGGTAAAATTAATAATCTCCAAAATGGGCTGAAGTCTAGCTATAGGGAAAGAGTTTTTTTAACTCTTTATTTTTTCTGTGCAAAAGAATGACAAACATGCATACAATACCACAACAGAATGTTTAGGCATATCAATATAGATAATAGTATGGCATATGTTAGAACTGCACATTTTGCAATATGTTACTCAGGCGTGAAACAGAAACGGTAGGTATTTCGCACTATATAGACTGACAGCATCATGAAGCAGAATATTAAAGTATGACATAAAAGCATGCTCGGCCAATATATGCTTATATGAATAGAGATACAGATAGATAGCACTAAATATAGCCTCAGGCATAGTAATAGGTGATAAAGCACAATACCACTGCAGTATTAGATAGCTTAGTGTTGAACTGAAGAAAGAATAAAATAAACAATAACGATCTAAGGTAAACACAAATAAAACAAAACACTGTTTGCTTAGCTTATGCCTTAGTTAAAATAATGATTGCCTTTGTTAAGTGGCATAAGAGCTTAGGCAACAGTCCCTCGATCAGATTCTGATTCCTCTCCGTTTCTTATTGTCACAGTGAGCGGTAGCTGCATTCCCTGTTCAGAGCCCCTCCAGACTCAGGCTTGAATGAGGCCGGCATAAATGCACCATAGACTTGGGTTCTACTCGGGTCCAAGTCTATACCCTGTTGAGGGTAGTCAGAGGATTGAGATGTCATTCGTCAATTGTTGCGGGTAATCTTCCATCCCTGTGGGCGATGTATGGCATCCAAGCCCCTTGTTGCTCTCAGCCTAGGTGACTGTGCATTAGGACATGCAGGTTTCATACCACTGTGAGTAGGCCCTTTCTCCTCCCGCTGCTTCACTCTCCTGTCTCTCTTCTGAACACTGACTTTGGTGGCTAAAATTAGTTTATTGTCAGCCAGAAGTGCTAAAAGAGGTCATCAAGCCTCCGCAAGGACTCTCTATGGAGATCTGGGAGACTCTCTGCATGGTGCACTCGCCACGAGGCTTCGAAGGTAGGGCATCCGCCATTTTGGAGCATCGAGAGTCATGGCACTGCACCTTAGATGTCGTGGTATGTGCGAGCAAATTCTCTGAACTGCCCTGAGGGGACCGGCATGACCGCCACCGGTCCAGTGGGGGGTAGCCGTGCTATGAGCCCAGGCCCACAAACTGGAGCCCGAGAAGATTGGCTGCTTCACTTCGGATCTGTCTCAGGCAGGCCGCAGCAAAGTTTTCAGGCTCTCGTTGAAGAAATACACAGGTAAAGTAACGATCATAGTTACATAGTTGAAAAGATACTTGCATCCATCAAGTTCAGCCTTCCTCACATATGTTTTTGCTGTTGATCCAAAAGAAGGCAAAAACATTAATTCACAGTAAGCCTTACTTCAGTAGTGGGAAAAGTAATGGAAACCATGTTAAAGGATAGGATTGTTGAACATCTAAAATCACATGGATTTCAAGATCAGAGACAACATGGGTTTACGTCAGGGAGATCATGCCAAACTAATCTTATTGATTTTTTTGATTGGGTAACTAAAATAATAGATCAGGGTGGTGCAGTAGACATTGCTTACGTAGATTTCAGTAAGGCTTTTGACACTGTTTCACACAGAAGGCTTATCAATTAACTGCAATCTTTAAGTTTGGATTCCAATATTGTTGAATAGGTAAGGCAGTGGCTGAGTGACAGGCAACAGAAGGTTGTAGTCAATGGAGTATATTCCAAGCATGGGCTTGTCACCAGTGGGGTACCTCAGGGATCGGTACTTGGATCCATTTTCTTTAATATATTAGTGATATTAAAGTGATATTGCAGAAGGTCATGATGATCCTAAGATATGTAACAGGGTTGATGTTCCAGGAGGGATAAGCCAAATGACAAATGATTTAGGTAAACTAGAAAAATGGTCAGAGTTGTGGCAACTGACATTTAATGTGGATAAGTGCAAGATGGAATATAAGGGCAGAGTATAGAAAATTTGATAGAGTCCTATCAAATCATCTGAGGCAAAGGATTTAGGTTGCTTGGTTGTAAAGGGAGAGTTTTTAGCAGTAGAAAGATGGACGTTTTCATGCCATTGTACAGAATACTGGTGAGACCTCACTTGGAGTATTGTATGCAGTATTGGAGACCGTATCTCCAGAAGGATATTGATACTTTAGAGAGAGTTCAGGGAAGGGCTACTAAACTGGTTCATGGATTGCAGGATAAAACTTACAAGGAAAGGTTAAAATAACTTAACATGGTATAGCTTGGAAGAAAGATGAGACGGGGGGTATGATAGAAACGTTTAAATACATAAACATTTAAATACATAAAAACATTTAAATATGTAAAGGAGTAGACGATATTTAAAAGAAGAAAAACTACCACAGCAAGACGACATAGTCTTAAATTAGAGGGGCAAAGATTTAAAAATAATATCAGGAAGTATTACTTTACTGAGAGGGTAGTGGATGCATGGAATAACCTTCTAGCTGAAGTGGTAGAGGTTAACACAGTAAAGACGTTTAAGCATGCATAGGATAGGCATAAGGCTATCCTAACTATACAATAAGGCCAGGGAATAATTAAAGTATTTAGAAAATTGGGCACACTAGATGAGCTGAATGGTTCTTATATGCTGTCACATTCTATGTTTCTATAACTTTCTCTATATTAAATTTAATCTGCCATTTTAGTGCCCAGTCCCCCAATCTATATAAATCCCTCTGCAGCAAAGCAATATCCTGCTCACATTTTATGACTTTAGAAAGTTTTGTGTTATCTGCAAACACTAAAACATGTCTTTCAATGGCTATTTCCAGATCATTTATAAATATGTTAAAACAGAACCCTGAGGGACACCACTTATCACTTTTGTCCAGCTTGAAAATTTACCATTAATAACTCATTGTACTCTATCCTTAAGCCAATGTCCTACCCAAGAACAAGAATATTCATCTAGACCAATTTCTTTTAGTTTGAACACTAGCCTATTGTGAGGAACCATATAAAAATCCAAGTAGTTCACATACACTGCAACACCCTGATCTATACTTCTACCTCTTCATAGAATGCAATTAAGTTAGTTTGACGTGACCTTTGTTTAAACCATGCTGATTATTGCTAATAACAAAGTTCTTCCCAATGAATTCCTGAATATTATGTCTTAATAGCCCTTCAAATACTTTCCCAGTCACAGAGTTAAGCTCACAGGTCTATAATTTCCACGCAGAGTTAAGCTCACAGGTCTATAATTTCCACGCAACCCTTTTTAAATAAAGGAACAACATCTGCCTTCCTCCAATCCTCCGGTACAATTCCTGAAACAAAAGAATATTGAAAGATTAAATACAGAGGTTCACTTATTTTCACATTTAGCTCCTTAAGTACTCGTGGGTGAATACCGTCAGGCCCCAGAGCTTTATTTACATTAATTTTCTTTAACTGCTATATCACCTTTTCTTAAGTCATCCAATCACAAGATATCTGCAAGTTTTTTGCAGCAATCATTTGCATATCTCTTGCCATAGGATCCTCATTAATATAATATTCAAGAAAAACAGTTACTTAAAATGTCTGCCTTTCCCTGGACTTCATTAACTAACAGACTCTGTTACCAGTGTACCTACACTTTCATTTTTTTATTTTTTTTTAAACTTGATGTACTTTTGTGGTTGGTTTTGCTTTCTTTGGTTATCAATTTCTTGTTTTTCCACTTTAATTGTCTTTTTGAAAGCATTATTGGCTTCCTTATATCTTTTATAGGATGCCTCTGATTTGTCTGTTTGAAATGCTTTAAATGGCCTTTTCTTATTTTTAATCTCTTGTTTTTCTTCCCTATCAAGCCACATTGGTTTCAGTTTGTTTCTTTTACATTTATTACCCAATAATACATACTAAGAAATGTACCTTTCCAATATGTGTTTAAAGAAATTCCATTTATCCTCAGTGTTTATTTCACTAAAGAGTTTATGCCAGTCAATATTTTGTAGAGTTTCCCTAATCTTATTGAAAATGGCTTTTTTAAAAATATATGTTTTAGTATACCCCACGTGCTTTTGTTTTTTTGAGTTTATTTAAAATAAATACCATATTGTGATCACTATTTCCCAAATGCTCCCCTACTTGAATGTTGGTCAAAAGATCAACATTGTTATAACGAGATCCAGACAAGCATCCTTTCTAATTGGTGCTTGTACCAGTTGTGACATGAAGGTGTCATTTAACACATTCAAAAACCTAATTCCCCTTGCTGAACTACTAGTCTCTCTATGTTAGGGTACTTAAAATCGCCAATAATTAACGTGTTACCCCGGTTTGTATGTTTCCCAATTTGCTCTAACAGCTGTTCTTCCTCATTGATATTTACATTAGGTAGTTTAGAACAAATCCCAACCAATAATAATATATTTCCCTTCTTTTGCCCCAGGCAGATATTTACCCATAAAGCTTCTACATTTTCCTCATCCCACACCACTTGCCTAAGATTTGACTTTAACTCATGGTTGACATACAAACATACCCCACCACCCTTCTTGTTTTTCCTATCCTTCCTAAATAATGTGTACCCATTTAAATTAACTGCCCAGTCATGTGTCTCATCCCACCATGTAATACCCATTATATCATATTGTTTAGTGTATGCTATTGCCTCTAGTTCCCCCATTTTGTTATTTAAGCTCCTTGCATTAGTAAGCATACATTTAATATTATCATATAATCATAAAATTTAACTTTGTGCAAATTTTTATTACTGTGGTACACATCCCCTGTTTTAGTCTTTCCCCTCCACCCAGCTAATGCTGAGTTAAAGCCCATCTCCTTTCTGTCCTATCTCCATTTTGTAGATTTCTATGTCCTCCCCCCTACCACTAGTTTAAAATCTACTCCAATTAATAACTCAAGTCATATGGCAAGCGAAAATGGAAAGGGGTATACTGATGAACATAGGAAACAGATACACACAGATAGAGGATTGGGACACATGGATAAACAAACTGGAATCTATAACTCAACAAGTTCATATGGACCCTGATGATCCCAGGAAACGAGCATATAATAAAGGTCGGAACAGTAAATCATATAACATCATACATAAGGGTGTGATCTCTCTCTTCAAGGACAAGTAGTTTAAATAATAACAACTAAGAACCTATAACAATAAGCTAAATAAGCTAAGGGGGGGGAGGGGGTGAGGTGGAGGGAAAAGAGTTAAAGCACACTACCTCCTCTGTCTTCTCTCTTTTCATACCCATAAATCTACTAAATAAAGAAGAGAATATAGTAAATACAGAGAGGAGGAATGGGCTGGAGAAGAGGGAACAAGGGAGGAGATATTTATGAGGACAATAATACCTAGGCTAGAAACGTCTGAAATATGGGAAAATATAAAATTAAAAAAAAAAAGAAAGAAAAAAAGAAAAAGAGAATAAAAAAAAAAAAATCTCCTCCAACCTTTTAGCCATCCTATTCCCCAGCACAGCAGATCCTCTTCCGTTTAGGTGCAATCCATCACGGCTATACAGGTTGTACCCAAGCGCAAAATCGTCCCAGTTAAGATCCTCTTTCCTTCACCAAAACTTCAGCCACGCATTGACCTCTCTAATCTCCCGCTGTCTTTCTACTGTAGACTGTGTCACATGTAATATTTCTGAAAATACTCCTCTGGAAGTTCTTTTCTTTAGTTTACTTCCTAGTTCCTTGAACTCAATATTTAGGATCTTTCATTTTCCTCTGACTTTGCCATTGGTACCAATATGGACCATGACAGCTGGGCCATCCCCAGCCCCTCCCAATAATCCCTCTACTCTGTCAGCAACATGCCGGACCCGAGCACCCGGGAGACAGCACACTGTCAGAGCGGCAGACTATCCTATCTACTCTCTTAATAATAGCCCGGGATCCTGTGACCTTAAGTGCACAAAGTAATTAGCATGGAAACCACAAAATTGGGGTTATAGCCCAAATTCCAGCAAGATAATCAGGAGCTCAAATGTTCCACATCTAGATCAGGCTCCACAGGATTTACATTACTGATTGTTCTGAGGTTGAGGCTTGGCTGCCAAGTGGAAGCAAAGTGCATAGTTTCTGAGCCAAGATCTCTAATATCTCTTTAAATGGTGAGATTGCTTTCCCGGGAGTCCATGTATTGCTGTGGATAACTACCTTGTCCTTCGTGGCAGTTGTAATGGGCCTGCTCTATACCTTCAAATTGGACGGTAGCCATTCTAAGCAGGCTGGAGGCCATATTTGATCATTTCTTCTGCCCAATTTTGAGCAGGTGAGGGAGGTTGTAGACAAGCATCCAGGCAAGTGACGCTGTCTAAAGCAGGTTTTAGAATCGGGGCAGACATTGGCCTTTGTAGCCACCAGAGACAGGTGCGTTTGGACGACTCATGGCCCTGTCAAGCCTTCAGGTTTTGACATTTCAGGGCCTGAGATTGAACTTCAGCAGTGCTAAACATGGGGTGAAGATTTATTCTTGCAGTAGCTGTTTCCAGGTACCTTGAGGGCTGTGATGTTTTCTGCTTTGCTGGGAAGCTGGCTGTCCCATGCTTATGGGCAAATTTCTCCTGTTCTGACATTGTCCCCGAGATTCAGAATTGGCTGAGTATCTTTTGCTGTCTGGTTCTTGTACCCCGTTACCTTTTTAACCTTCATTGGGACTCATGTTTTGCGTAGTTTTACCTAGTTATCAGTAATTTTAAAAAATGGGCAGTTATGGTTATGTATGAGCCTTGATACCTGGTAACATGACCTAATAATACCTGTCAATGTATTATATGCTCCCATCTTTACATATATTGATTTTAATGGGCATGTTTTATCTGTGTACTTAAGATACTCATACCAATGTTACCATATTACCTGTAACTGCACAACAAACTTCTCACTTAAGTGAATAACCACTCATATTTTCAGTCCTCCTAATTAATTCAGCTTACAGATTCATAATTAACAAGAATGTTTTAATAATTTTATTTAAGAGAACATGCAGGGTTAACTTTCTCTCAAGTACTTTATTCCACGTCAAGGGTAGAGACAATATATTGCTCTAGACAATACATTGCTTACCACAGAGCACATTGTGAACATTTTAGGGTAGTCGTAGTCTTCAATCACCATAACCTCGACAGCATTTTGTGGTGGTTGTGGGGTAAATATGCTATGGGTTTTTTAAACCATTTTTAGCAGTTTAGAAAGAAATTGAGGATTCCCTGGCATTGTAAGCCCAAATGCTTTTCATTGGATGCCATAATTGGGGAGTTTCACTTACGTGATATTTGTCCTAGTGTTTGTACTTAAAACTGCTGTGCAGTAAGAGGCTGATCCACCCCATGTGCGACACAAAACACTTTCAGTATAATAAATCACTAACCAATAAGATGTTTGTATTGAATGTATTGTATTGTATTGTATTGTCTTGCACTATATATGTTTGTCAAATAATGTATATGTATTTTTATTTTTTTATGTATTCTTTATTTTTGAATAGGCAGGTAGATGAGGTATACATCAGACATATCAGAATTTACAGAAGCCAAGAGACAACTTAGTTGTACAACATATTTCCCTTAATGTGTTGGTACATTATAGCACAGTTGATATGTACATTCAGCAGTATAGGTTAT